CGCCGATCCGCCGCGTCAGCGACCGAGCCCGTGCTGATGTCTGTGGGGACGTTGGACGGAGTAGGAGGCGGAGGCGGAGGCGGAGGCGGAGGAGGCGGAGGAGGCGGAGGAGGCGGAGGAGGCGGAGGAGGCGGAGGAGGAGGAGGAGGAGCAAGAGGAAGGAAGAGGAGGAGCAGGAGGAGGAGGAGGAGGAGCAAGAGGAAGGAGGAGGAGGAGGAGGAGGAGGAGGAGGAGGCAGAGGAGGAGGAGGAGGAGGAGCAAGAGGAAGGAGGAGGAGGAGGAGGAGGAGGAGGAGGAGGAGGAGGACTCAGGACGTCCGACGTGCCCTGCGATCCAGGCAGGCGCGCAGGGGGGCACGGCTGCGCGAGGGGGTGCCCGTGCGGCCGGGGCCGGGCCACCTCCAGAGCGGCAGCGGCGGAGCCTCAGCTCTGCGATGCAGCCCTGGCCATCGCTCGGACGTCCATTCCCTGTGCTTTTGTTCGGTTTCGTCGTGGTCTTTTCGCCAAACGATCAAGGGTGCTCCTCGAGGATCCTCGCCGAAGGAAGAATGCACACGTCCGAGCGATGCCAAGCCTTGTCACTGCTGCCTCTCCCACATAACGCACAGCCTCGTCTCCGCAGCCCTTCCTCCATAGGCACACGGCGCCGTGGACGGGCACGACGTCGGTGCTCGCCGCGGCCCCTCCTCCTTCCGCCTCTGCCCTGACAGCACTCTGCTCCTCTGCGCACTCTTCGTCTCCACGCCCTTATGCCGCCTGGGAGGCTCAGAGGTTGGCAACAACCCCAGAATCGGTGGTCGCCTCCACCAGGGGGACGATGATCCCGATCTCAATGATGGTGGCACCTTGCCACCACGCAGCACCAAAGATACGGGATCGCATCCCCCCCGGTGGAGGCACCCTCCTGGGTTGGTGGTTGTGCAATTTGTTGAGGAACCCTGGTGGTCTCCAAACCAGGTGGTGAGACACCCGGTGGTGACCCCGATTCCCCCAAAAAATAATTCTGGGTCGCCACCGGGTTTGGGGACACGCGGTCGCCACGAGGTTTTGCGTTTCCTGGGCCAGCCAGCGCTCGAAAACCATTACCCAAATCGCCCAAAACTCACCACCAGGTGTTCTCACCACCACGCTTGGGGACCACCAAGGACCAATGAAGGCATAAAAATGAACTGTCGGAGGTCCGCGCAGATTTCTAGGATCCGAGCTGCGGCGCGCGGAGCCCGCCGGGGGGGGGCCCGCACCGACCCCAGAACCGCGCGCGGCCCTCCAAATAATTCTCTGTCCGTGTCCGCAGACATGCGACGGCCTGATTTTTTCAGCACGGCGTCCCCGGAAGCCCAGACCGCTTCCCCGGGGCAAGGTTTTCATCCTGAGTCGTTTTTGACGGTCCCGGGGCCTGGCCAGGGCCCCCAGGGGCCGATCATAACGAAAAACTTGCCGCCCTGACTTTTTTTTTAAGACGAAAGCATGTCTGGGTCATGATGTGTTCCCCGAAATTCCCAGGCAGGCCAACGATCGTCTGCCCCGTACTGCTCGGCTTCTCGCACCATCGCTCCTGCTTTGCGCAGGCTCGTCCGAGATATGTGCGGGCGAGCTGCTGGCGGAAGCGCGGCCTCGGCAGGAGACAAATAAGGCTTCTGGTTGCGGCCTAGGTGATCGTTTTCTTATTCATTGTTTTGCCGATCGGCGCGGGTCCTCGCACCCCCCCCTTCTCCCTCTCCCTGGAGTATATCTTGGCTGTTTTTGGCGCCTGTTCCAGGCAGCTGGAGCCTCCTACATAGGACGCACTGCTGCAAACAGTCACACTAAGCAGAGGTTGGGAGCAACCCCCCCCTCCTATTCCCCCCCTTCCGCCCAATGTCGAAACGCCGAATAAGAAACGCTCACTAGGTTGGCCCAATGCGGATTAAAATGTGCCTGGCATCGATCACGTCGGCTCCGCTACAATGGCGACGCAACGTGAGGCAGCCGAACGCGGTATCAAACAAGTTGCCAGAAGATGCAGAGGCGGTGTTGAGTTAAGCTCGCCCACTGCACTAGCACCCCCCATCCCGTTGGAAGTACAACCACAAGCCACAAGGAATACAACTGGCAATGGGCATGAGACCACAACTGCCAGGCACAACAATTACACAAGACACAGGCACGACAAGGTGAGCAAACTTACAATCACAACACATAATCAACGCCGCAATGCGTGCATGCGGGCTCATATCTACTTGGCTAGCGTGCATTATGTCATGAGCACTCGTGTGCAACCTGAGCATAGCTACTCGTTTCAATTCGGACCTTCGCACGCCCACGTGCGCACCTGACTTAACAAACGAGTAAGAAGCATGAACAAGAGCACGCTCATGAACAGACAGAGGTATAGGCAACTCGTCCGAGCACGATCATGACCCCGACGATGAGCATGGGCAACAATATGAGTGTGGACATAATCGACTGAGAGAGGCATGATCACGTACAGAGCCGATCCAGCAGCAGAAGCCCTACAAAAAGTCAAATTCACACTACGTGCGATTGTTGAGCGAGTTGCCACAGACAGACGCATTGAAAGCTGTAAGACACGCAAAAGTTAAACACACTATGGCTGCGCGGCGGCTCGTGCATCTTCGCGACTCCGAACCGTCTCGCTCTTCGCCATGGGGAGAATTCTCCGTGCCAGCCTGCAGAGCGCCGAGGCAGGGAGGGCGAAGGGAGTGGGACAACACAGACAAAGAGGAAGGGGCCCTGGGACACACCAATAGATACACACAAATCACCGGATTCCCCATATTTTTCGCATGTTTTCTCTGTTTCTGTCTTCCCCCCCTTCCCATCTTTTCCCACATGTTCCTTGGAATCGACGATCAATTGTGCCTGTGTGCTTTTTCCCTCCTGAAAAGAGACAGGCGACAGTCGGGTCGGGCGAAAGGGGGGGATAGCAAAGGGGGGGTTTGAGAATCAGCTCAAGTAGCTGATTTTCCTGGCGCCTCCCGGCGCCGGGAGGCGCCCATGTATCGAGGAATGGGCCCGGCGGCGGGGCTGAAACCAGCTGCATGCAGCAGATTTCGTACCCCCCCGGGGAGGGGGGGGGGGTGCGACGCGGAATAAAGTGGTCGGAGCTCTAGACACCCTGTGCAAGAGGGTCAATCCACACCAACAACAGGATCCCCCATCATTTCCCATGTGTTCTCTGTTCTTATCTTTCCCCCCCTCCCCATCTTCGACCACGTGTTCCTTGGCATCGGCGATCCACTGTGCCTGTGTGTGTTTTTCCCCTCCCGAAAAGAGACAGGCGCCCGGCCCACCACTCCCGGACCCTGATGGTCCGCCACCGAAAATTTCCGGTAGCGCTCCGCAGAGATCGGTCGCTACCGAAATACCGAGATGTGGCGCCCAATACCGGTAACAGACCGTTCTGAAACCCGCTATTCCAACGCCCTCTAACGAAGATCCGGTCGCTACCGAAATTCGGGGTGCGTCGAAATCGCTACCGAAAATTTCCGGTACCAGACCATCTGGGGACTCTCTGTCTCTGTGTCTCTGCCCGCCGTGCGGTGGCCCACCCGTGGCTCCCGGGCGCCTCCCCCTCGTGCCTGAGCCCCGAGCCCCGTGAGGCCTCTCGCCGCCCCGCCGAGGCCGCGCGGCGCAGGATCGAGCAGCAAGTGGCGTGGCAGAGAAGCAAAGCAGAGGCAGGGCCAAGAGTCGCGAATCTAGGGGAACAAAAAGTGACATAAGCATAAAAAACTCGGAGGTCCGCGCGGATTTCTCGGATCGGCTCGGACACACAAATAAATACACACAAATAAAAGGATTCCCAATATTTTTCCACATTTTTTTGATTTTCGTCTTCCCCTCCACTTCCCATGATTCCCCATATTCTCCGGGGGATCGACGATGAATTGTGTCTGTGTGTGTTGTTCCCCTCGGGGCCCCCCGGCGGCGCCTCCGGCGCCGCCCCTGGCGCGCTCCGCGCGCCGGGGAGGCGGGCCCCAGCGCCGATCCGAGAAATCTGCGCGGACCTCCGAGATTTTATGTTCATGCCACTTTTCGTTTCCCTGAGCAGAGGCAGGGGCAAGAGCCGCGAATCTTCGGCACGGGCTCCAGAGGTCAATACCGGATCGACGTCGCACACACGTCGAATCGGGCCTCACTGACAACGGGTCGGAATCGAACCCCACCGGCCGCGCCAAGGTGCAAACTGGCGCCGTGCCAACGTCGGGCCGCATGGGACCGTCGGAATGCCGGCATCGAATCGGGCTGGGCCTGCCGACATCGGCACCGACTCGGATCGAGCGGATCGGCACCCAGACACGCGACGTCCTGATGTTTTCCATACGGCGTCCCCGGAAGTCCCGACCCTTTCCCCTGGACCGGTTTTTCATCCTGCGTCGTTTTTTGACGCTCCCGAGGCCGGGCGAGGGCCCTCAGCGGGCGAGAAAAACGAAAAATGTGCCGCCCTGATTTTTTTTACGACGCGATCATGTCTGGGCATGGATATTGAGCAGGGACCGACCATCCCGGCAGTCCTATAGTCCTACCACGAATTGTTCTCAGAACCCGAATATGTTCTAAGAACGAAAACAATATTCTTATAACATAAGCCCGATGTGATAAAGCAAGGCAGACTCCGCCAGCAATGTTCTGAGAACATTTCGTGCGAACCACAAAATCTTAGAACATCGTTTGGCAGGGCTATAGGTACGCCAGGACGCTTCGCCACTGCGTCGGCACCAACTCGGATCGAGCGGATCGGCACCCAGACATGCGACGTCCTGATGTTTTCCATACGGCGTCCCCGCAAGTCCCGACCCTTTCCCCTGGACTGGTTTTTCATCCCGAGTCGTTTTCTGACGCTCCCGAGGCCCGGCGAGGGCCCCCAGGGGGCGAGAACGACGCAAAGTGTGCCGCCCTGATTTCTGTTTACGACGCGGCCACGTCTGGGCATGGAGCTTCTGAACTCGGCAGGGTGGCCGCGCCTGGCCACGAGCAGCGAGGACCTCCCGCTCCGCGGGACTAGTACGCCTGCCACCGGTCGTGGTCGGGGCTCCTCCGCGCCAGCGGCAGGGCGTCCGCGACCTCGGCGCGCGCGCGAGGGGCTGCGGCGAGCCCCCCCCTGCCCGCGGCCCGCCCGGGGCCGCGCCCCCTGGTTGAGCAGGGACCGACCGTCCCTGCATTCATCTAGTTCTAAGACCAAAAACAAGTGTTCTAAGAACCCAAAAATGTTCTTAAGACCCCAAAACATGTTCTAAGACCAAAAACAATTGTTCTTAGAACATTCCGTGGGAACCACAAACGGTTCTTAGAACATTGTTTGGTAGGGCTATAGGCGAGCCAGGACGCTTCGCCACTGCTTGACCTGGTGCGAGGCGGGTACTTGTCCATATCCACCGCCTGGGAACCGACGTCCTGGTGCCCCAGCGGGCGGTAGATATGGATATATTTCGGCCCCCGGGGGTCCGCATGGGTCCATGTCCACTGTCTGCCGCGGCTCCGAGAACTGACCCTCCAGGCGGTGGATATGGGTAAATTCCCGCCTCGGAAGAGGCCGGACAGCTTTGTGGATGCCACGACACTGGACACCCTAACAGTCCTATCATCGAAAGAAACATGTGCTTAACATGTCGGAATCATGTCTTGAACACATTTGAAACATGTTTTACACTATTTAAACAGTTTAACGCATGTTCTAGACATTTGGAAAATATCTGGCAACATGCTTCCTCTCCACTGATCGTCCTCCACAAGGCCAGCGCGACCAGCAGGGCAGACCGTGCAGGTGGGCATGGGCCCATGTCGAGGATCCTCGGAGCGTGCACTGGCGCCTTGGGCGTTGCGTAATGGGGGGGTCATAAAATGGAGGGGTGGCGAGGGTGGTCCGAAAAGGTACCCAAACCGTACATAAACGAGCCCCCTGGGGCTCCGGAGGGGCCCGAAAGGAGCACGAAAGGGGACCGTTTCTCATCCCCCCATTAAGCCACGCCCAAGCGCCAGCGTGCGCCTGTCCGCCGGAGCTGTCCCGTACGGAGCAGGCGGTGCACTGGGGGCCGGCACGGGCCGCACACGATCGGTGGAGCTGGGCGGGGTAAGCACACAGTGGGCCAAAACACTAAAGAGGGGCCCAGGGACACACAAACAAATAGACACAAATCTCAGGATTCTCAATATTTGTTCCATCTTTTTGCGGTGTTCGTCTCCCCCCCTGCTTCCTATATTGTCCCATATTTTCTGGGGGGTCGACGATTCATCGTGTTTGCATGATTTTTCCCCTCCCGATACGTGTCCTGAAGATCATCGACCAGTGGAGGCGGCCCGAGGGTCAGAAATACGTGGGTCCCCAGAAAATCGATCAAGGAGGGGGGGGTCGAGGCCAGATCCGCTCAAGATCGGTCCCCGGAGCCCTCTCGGGGTCCATCTGGCCCACCCCGGATCCGTTTCTGACGGTCCCGGGCCTGAAGAAGCCCCCCCCGCCTGGAGACCGAACGGGACAAGCAGCCTTCTCGAACCCAGAACCTCGGACCTCTTCGATCCCCTTCTGCTAGGCGGAGCCAGCGCTGGGCCCCGCGACCCACCCCGCGCCCGCCCCCTCACTCTTATCCGTAAATGAGGTGCAGCGTGTTCATACTCGGGAGTGCTTCCGAGTTCGAAAGCACGCACGAGGTGTATCCAAGGAGAGCGCAGCGTTTACAGGTCCGAGCACAGTGGAGGAACCGTCGTTGAGGGAAGACGCGGAATCGGCGCCGCCAAATCATCACGAAGCACAGAGCTCCACGACGAAACCAGGTCCTGGAGAACAGGGGCAGGAGCACCTGGCACCAAATCGCGAAACCGGATCGCATCGGATCATGCAGCATCGGCACGGAGTCGGACTCGAATCAGACCCGCCGCACCGGGATGCACAAGAGCAACATGCAAACAGTGGGCCGCAGCGAAATCGGAAATCGTCGGACATCGGGCCCGAATCGGATCGGGCCGAGGTCCACACCGAATGGGACCGACCGGAGGGAAGTGGACCCTGACAGGGGCTGCTGGGAGTGCTGCGCAGCCTTCGGTGCCCCTGGGGGCCCTCCCCCGGCCCCGGGGCCACCAAGAGACGGCTCGGGACGTGCAGCTTGTCCCGGGGGAAAGCCACCAGGTCCACTGGCCATCGCTCGGACGTCCGTTCCCTGTGTTTTTGTTCGGGTTCGTGCGTGGCTTTTTCGCCAAGTGATCGAGGATGCTCCTCGATGGTCCTCGCCGAAGGAAAAATGCACACGCGCGAGCGATGCCAAGTCCAGGGCCTGCTTCCCTCGAGGAGCCCTTCTGCTCATGGCAGGGGCCCCTGGGGGCCCTCCCCCGGCCCCGGGGCCACCAAGGGACGGCTCGGGGTGTGCAGCTTGTCCTGGGGGAAAGCCACCAGGCCCAGGGCCCGCTTCCCTCGAGGAACCCTCGAGGACCCCTCGAGGACTCCTCGAGGACCCCTCGAGGGCTGCAGCTTGTCCTGGTGTGAGCTTCCCTCGAGGAGCCCTTCTGCCCATGGCGGGGGCAAGGGGCACGAGTCCGGCGCAGCACGGGCTGCCCGAGCGGGCCGCGGGGCGAACACGGCGGCTCAGGGCGACGCCGCGCCGAGATATCTGGCGAGATTCGGGGGGGAGCCGGCCGCCAGGCACGGCGTGATCGGTTCAGCCATGCAGGGCACGGTTTGGGTCCCAGCCCAACAAACTCGTCTGAACATGACGTCGAGACCGAGTCAGAACAAGTACAGTCGGGGCCTTGACCTCAGGAACCCTAGATAAGGAACGAGGCCCCTCTTTCCCATAAGTTCAACTTCGATTTCCGATCGAAAACATAAGGAAAACCTGAGGCAAGCAAGCTGTGAAACACTTTAAGGAACGCGGAGCCCCTCCCCAGCGAAAAGGGCTCCTGCTTCAGCTCCCCGACTGTAGTCGGACGAACGCGCACCGCGTCCGTAGCCTATGGAGACCAAGGCAAGCAGAGCACGACGCGTGTGTGAGAGCCAGAGTTCTGAGACTCACGGGTTCCCCGCGGAGTAAGTAATGTGGTGTTCGCTCTGCTGTGTAAACTAAGCTATGAGGTGCAAGTAAGGTTGTGCAACACATATATACATATTATCATACGCACCTCTCCGAGGGAATAGAGCTCAGAGGCGATTGATGCGTACGCGGGGCGCCGCGTCCGCGATTGTTCTGGCCGTTTCGCTAGGGACATCCTCGACATTCTGAGCATCGATGGCACCCCTCACGCAGATCGTGACGTAAGGGTCCAAACACATAGGGGATTTCAACATGTTAGCATAAAACCTTCAAACACACATGGTAAGTTCAATAACTTTGACCCCGATTCTCAGAGAATGGCGGTTTCGCCTGAAACATCCTCCCCACATCGAGCCCCGACGTACCCTCTGGTACCCCAGACCCCGCTTCGGAGCCTCCTGGGGGCCTCCTGGAACCTCCTGGGGCCTCCTGGGGTTTTCTGAACCTTCTGGTACCCCAGACCCCGCCTCGGAGCTTCCTGGGGGTCTCCTGAAACCTCCTGGAGCCTCCTGGGGCCTCCTGCGGCCTCCTGGAGCCTCTTAGGGCCTCCTGAAGCCTCCTCCTGAGGCCGCCTGGGGCCTCCTGGGGCACACACAGAGACACACATCACGCCCAACACATCACACGCTAGACAAACATACCACACACACAGACACACACACACAGACACAGACACAGACACAGACACACACACACACACACAACAACAACAACAGCAACAACAACAACAACAACAACAACAACAACAATCATTTTACCCGAACGCTCAGTGTTCTCCCCAGTGCCAGGGTTTTCTTGCGACACCAGCCAATACCCCCACTTCGTGGGGGGGCCGTTCAAGCTCTACCAAATATCCAAACGACTCTTCGAGACCACCCACACCCAGCTTCCCGCCCTATGACGTTGGGACACTTCACTTCGTGGCGTGCGGACGACCCTGGCTACTACACTGGCGTGGGGTACACACCCACAGAGGTTGATCACATCTGTTACATATGATGTGGTACACGGTACACGTGAGATGGTACGCAGTGCCAAGATAGTTGGTCACATTTTTGGGGCAAATTCGTGGGGATGCGATTACAGAAGTACATGTGTTACACTGATGTTATACAGTCCCAAGGATGACGCATGCATTGCTCATAGACTCATGGCGCTATGATCCTAACTCTCAGTGCCCAACGCGCGCGTGCACAGCCAGACGGAGGGAGAGAAACACATGTATACAAGGTTCGTGACATACGCACGGTCCACCATGTTGTAAACGATCGCATGCACGGTAAGTTCTGAAATTATACGTATGTACAAGCAGACATGCGAGGGAGAAAGGGAGATGGCCATCGACAGTTCCAATACGGCTCCAAGGCGGAAGAGGGGGAGGAGGAGCAGGACAAGGAGGAAAGGAGAGAAGCGAGAAAGGAAGAACGCAGACGGCGCGGCTCTGGACACAAGCCTTCAACGTAATACCAGTACTGGAGGTCCCTGCGCGACAACGCGTAGACGGCGCAATTGCCATGTTTGGCAGCGTCTCCGAGTCGATACGTGCCGAGCCACTGTTGACAGGCAGTATAACCCGCCTCATACCCCCAGGCCTTCAGACGCACCTGCATATTCCGGTAATGGAGGTCAAGGCCCAGGTCGGAGACCTCCTCTCGATACCGCTTGCCGCATGCCGCCTCTACAGCATCCCCCGTCAGCAGCTTTATACAAACCACATCTGTGGAGGAAGAAGCTGCCGTGGCCTGCTGCTTCGATACGGGCTCCTCCCAGTCGACCGCGGCAGGCCGTTTGGCCACGCGGGCAGCTCCGGCGGCGGCTGGCCGTTTCAATACCCCGCCTGCGACCTGTGCCGCCGGGCGCTTCAATACACGCTTGGTGACGGCCTGGGCGGATGAAGCCGCCGCCTGCACTGAAGCGCCCACCGACGCATACACATCGCACCACTTTCTCAACACTGAGCGGGACACCAAGACAGCTTTCCGTCGCATACGCAGCACGGCATGCAACGTGTGGTACTTCAGCCCTGGATATACAGCGCGCATGTGG